TTGATGCATTATTTTGAGGATCGTGTGTTAATGAAGAATGTAAGTACTGTAAAAAAAGAGGAAAGCACAATATAGTAAAGATGATCAACGTATAGTCCAAAATAGTATTTTGTCGCCGTGACATCTATTACGCCTTCATCCTTTACAAATTTCTACACGTATGTCAAATATTGTCAATTTTTATTATAGTGTTGCGTCAGCGAAGTCACATGACTAGTGTGACGCCACGTTTCTAGAACTATCCTGTACCTTGGCGAATTCTCTAGCATTTACTAGATATAGGGTAGTCTGGTATATAAAAGAGGGTGACAACGTGACGGGACAATAATGTGTGTGTAGGTAATGAGTAATTGAACTGCAGTCAGAGAGAGACGTATTGTTGAAGTTAACGTTCGTTGTTATAGCGTTTGTTGAAATTAAGTGTATCGTAAAGTTATATTCGGAAAGAATAAACCAGTTTTATTGAGTAAGGACTTGTGTCGCTAAAGTTTCGTCGGAACGAAGTTACGGAAAGTTAATTAACAAACGGAGACGTAACAATATATATCTACCACTGTACCTCTTATTTTATATATTTGTTAAAATTGACCAATATTCCCCAATACTCTTCTGTATATCATAAACCAAAACATTCAACAGAACCAATGCATTTCAATATTAATGACTCTAAATTAATAACCTTGATTACAGTCTTAGCTACATCTTTTTTAATTTGGTCTTATTTCCTAAGTAACCATAAAATATGCCAAGTTCCATTAATAGTGAAAGGTTTGTTTGATGTAAAGCACAAAGCTACACAATGGGCTATCTGTGTTCTGCCCACTGTGGGTATCAAAACCAGAATTTTAGCGTTATAAGCCCACTAACTTAGCACTGAGCCACCAGAGCGCAACATTAAAAGTTTTCCGTGTATTGTGAAACAAAATTTTAATTTTACAAGGATTATAGTCCTTTTGATATATATCTATTGTATGCATGCATACCAAGCGTCTTCTACCCTCTTTGCTAATGCATATACATTTTAAAAATCTCTGTACACCTTGAGTGATGCCCCATGTATACAACATTTATTATGAAGTGAGAGTGACCGTCAGTCACGTGATAACTATCTGTACCCTGATAAGAATGGCATTGATATTAAAACATTATGCATTTTTTTCTCAAACTTGAACAATTTTACAACTTTGATTCAGCTTAACAACAAAATACATGACAAATAACTCTACAGTTGTCATTAATATTAGTTGTTGTTTCATTAAAGTAAAGATTGTTTTATTGTGTGCAACTTTTTTCCAGTACATTCCTTTATGTTAAACTCAGCTGAGGTATGATAAAGTCAGATTTTTGCTCTGCAATAAATTTCCTGGTGAGCTTCTAGTTATCCTACTCAGTGAAAACCTGGTGAAAATGAGAATACTCATAAGTAGTATTGAAGAAAAATCCTAAAATATATCAGACAACACTTTTATACATTGAACTCTTGACTGTAATGAAGCATCTTTTCTAATCTACTAAGATTAATTTAATCTATACTATAAAGATGATGCTTCTGCACCACTAAAAGGCATTTGGTAGACATTTGCACATTTACCCCCAAGCCACCTTCCTCCATCCCCTGAAATTGTATCCTATGCTACTGAAATTCCCCATTGTCACAGAATTTCATTCCATTCCCAACA